GTTCTCACTGGTTTCCACCTTCATACCACCAACTCTGTCCTAGCTGAAAATTCGACAGTACTAAGGGACCCAATTTCCTTACCGAGATGTTCTTCTACCACTAAGTTCTGTGCCTTTTTGTGACTTTTTAGCCGGAGTAGACTTTTTGGCTGGTGCTGATGAGCTAGATGAGCTAGACGATCCGAATGAGGATGTTGATGAAGATGAACAGTTGACGGATTGATGTGCCTTTTGTAAATTGTTCACTTCTTTCTCTGAAACATGTAACTCTACTTCCTGTACTCTTTGATTATCTCCTTTTTGTTTGTCTTCTTACGGTTCTAGACAGGTGGCTATATAATCTCTACACTTTAACCCAATTTCCTTACTTTTAGTTTTAGTGCTTGTATCACTCATACCTGGACCTGGCATATCTATTTATTCTAGAGGTATCTTCTAATTCATTTCCATAATTGTCGACCAATTTTATCTTCTTTGGCACTTCATCCTGCTTAAATTTCTCTAAATCATCTTCTGCATCCTTACCACTATGTTCTGTGCTATTCTGGAAGCAAATTATCTGGCTTTCATGCACCTTGCATCCGAGGTTTGAAATGCGTCTGTGGAAGAGCTCTCCGCATTCTGGGCACTTCTGTGCAAAATCTGGGTACCTTTCTAAGATGTGACGTTTCAAAAACCATCTCTTTTCAAAGGTCATATCCTCACATATATCACACACGACATAAACAAATAGTCGTAAAACTTACCTAATTAGTAATACATGTCAAACCTTTACATGGTAGGACAGTTGTTAGTATTCAATACTTTCCTCATATCTAAAATATCTAAAAAACTACCAACATGCGTATATCAAAACTATTATCACGCAGTCAAAGTTCAACAAAATTTGATAAGTTATGAAGTATGAAAACCAGGTTGTACCATGATCTGCCAGATAAGGTTTAAGTTTATCATGGTGAATCACTGTTAGTTTCGTTCTTTGACCCAGCTGAATTCTATATAAAACATCAGTCAGTCGATTGGTAACAACAAATGGACCATGCCAAGGTCTCTGAAATTTAGGATTTTCACCAACCTCCCGTTGGTATTGGTAATACCAGTTTGGATCACCTGGATTGAACAGCTTTAAATGAATGTCATGGTCATAGTTTTTCTTCATAACATCACTAGCACAATTTTGATTGGGTCTTGCAAATTCATGAACCGTCAACAAAGTATGTTTAAGATCATTTACAATTTCAGAAATAGAACTTTAGGACCGTCGGGAGATTTACCAAACAATAAATCTACCGGTAGAATGATTTCACGTCCAAACACCATTCTACAAGATGACACACCCGTACTTTCATGTTTCATGATCAATATGCCATCATTAGAATGGGCCCAAATTTATCCCTATTTTTTTGATGATTCGATAGTAACGAAGACAATTCAGGGTTCCCATATACCTCTCAGCGTTGTTCTAGTTTTGTCAATATCTATCAATTTGCAAAGTTCTTGGAATAAATGGGACTCAAAATTAGCCCCCTCTTTCGTATGTAAGGGAACTCCAAAAATAGAGATAACATTATCCACTAATTTTCGAGCTACAACCTCTGCCTCTTGTGATTTCAGTGGAACGGCATGAACAAACTTAGTGAAATATTACCAACTACTAGCAAATGATTATTTCCTTGAATTGACCTAGGCAAAGGCCCCATTATATCAATAGCAACATTTTTAAGTTCTAAGTGGGCACCGACGTTGTATTACCGCATAGGTGCTTTTCGTTTTCTATTTGTTCGATTTCGCGAAGAACATACATCACATTTGATACACCCGTTTTCAATATATTTTCGTACCCCAAACCAAAAGAATCTTTGTATAACATTGCTTAAGGTTTTCTTGATAACTAAATAGCCACCAGTGACACTATTTTGTATCTGTTTGAGCACACATTCTTTTAAATTTTCTGGAATCACTTAAGCAGGTGACATTGTCCCTTCTTTCACTTTCCCATTTTCGACATAGAATACCGTCTCTTTTCTCAAATGATTCAATTCTATTCCAGAAGTATTTAATAACTGGACTACATTTTGATACTTCTGACCAGATGGGTTTCGAATTGTTTAATATTCAATCCTTAATTATCTTTAGTACTGGGTCATTTTGTTGTTCATTTTCTAAATTGAAATCTCTCACAACAACTTGTTCATCGTGCATCTGAGATGGTCCAACTGATTAGAATTTATGCTTCGAGTTTTAACTACACCTACGCGTAGGTTTATAAAGTTTTTAGGTATATTGGATTTGCAAACATCAACTGATGTTTCTGTGGCAAATCTCCTAAGAGAAGGTTGGTGAAAATTGCCATGAAAATGAAACAGTAATAAAAAGAGAAATCAATAAAAATTGTATACACATTTTCATTTCTTATTTTGAATGAGTTGATTTTTTTTAATTTCAATTTGGACTCAAATACGAAATATCGTATTGACATGTAGAATGTTTTTTTTAACAGTTTTGTTATTTGAATAGACATATTCTAACCAAATATATATAAGAAACCCATGCTCAAAGAAATTTTGAAATCATCTATCAGAATGCTATCAATTTTAACTTATGTCCAGTTGGTTTTGACGTGAGATTTTTATCGACTTAGAAGAAATTAGACTCTTACGAATCATTCTTTTAATGTCATTACCATGTATTGTAGGTAAAAAAAAGCTTACCAGCTGTGTGTAGGAAACTCCTGTAATTTTTTTAAATGGAGTTCCAAAAAGAGTTAAAATTTACATTATATTTTTTTTTCTGAAAGGAATTAACAACATATGTTTTGTGTTTTTAAACTCAGATGATACAGATGCCAAATAAATATTATTTCATGTGTTGTTGTTGTTTGTCTTTGTTTTTATTTTTTTAGAAGTCGGATATTGTTAGATGGTGTGATCTGTTGCACTGACATATAGTTCGGAAATACCATAAAATTATGCTTTTTCTGTATTTCATTATATTTTTGAATGGCCTAAATCGTGAACCCTCGTTGAAAATGAAGATGAGTGAAGGCTTCAAGAGACAGAAGCTAAACGACACAAATAACAAAGAGAAATATTTATACATTACTGCATATGTATACTCAAGTGATTATTGCTTTTAACAAAGCATATTCTACAAGTATAATTACACATACATAACCAAATGAAACTTATTTAATTTCAGACGTCTTTTATCAGCAACTCCTTCTACATGTAAGATGTGGCCGTAGTTCATCGAATTATGCTGCATAAAATGGCCTTTTGTACATCCTTATTTGTTTCTGGTCTGAAGGATATTTGTGAAGGAGCTAGGATTTGTGATCTTTATACTTTATACCTTGTTTCTACTTACAAAAGAAAACACCTTGAATAATATGAAAAAATTCCAGATTTGTGGCATGGACTACATTAGAGGTATCACATATTGCACATGGTATGATATCAGCCAAACAATTTTGAATCCAACGAAACACTAACCCACAAGTGTCAAAACAGCTAGAAGGAACTTCACCCTACAATTTAACAGTAAATTTAAATCTTGGATCAAATGGACTTTACATTTCAAAGATGCCTTGGCATCTGGGCAGGTAGAATCATTGATAGTCTTTATATCAGTCCATCAAAAGTTGTATCGACTTAATCGCATTAATTTTGGAGTCAATAGTCTCTTAATTTAATAAAATTATTATGATTGATATCTTTTTAATCTTATTTACGTACCAAAAATTAGGCGTATTTTTTTTCTTCAAAAGTGCCAACACTCGTTATGTTAGGACTGGACTGTGCATCTTTCTGTCTGGACAACCGATGTTCAGCGGAAAATTGCGGAATTTTTCATTTAGTGTACTTTGATATAATTACTTGATATCGATAGAACAAGATTCCTTAAGATTTGAATGTATTTTCTAAAATAATTTGGAAGGTCATAGCGCGACTGCTAAAATTACAACAAAAGCGATGTCATAGAATAAAATTATACTTGAACTTAATCAAACCCAAATAAGTCATTTTTTGTCCACTTTTTTTTACAGTTTATACTTTTTTCCGCCAACACTAGCCGCTTCTTTTATACAGAGATCCAACAGCTCTCAATATTTCAATTCCTTTTTAATTATTTAATAATGTTTGCAAGGGGATTAGACAGCGAAACATCATCATGAACACATTAGTCTGGGTTTAAAACGACAGCAAATAGCTAGAGCCTGTTTTTTGTTTGGTCACTATAAATATCTGGTATTAATCCAGTGCTTGTTTCAATTAGTTTTACAGTATTGGTACCGAATAACTTCCTTTCATAGTTAACTAGTTGTTCCCAGAATCCTATATTTGGGTGAATGATTCTTCTTTTACTTTTCACAAAATCATGCGCTTCTTTCAGTTTCATTTTCTTGTGTTTCATTAGGTATGCTATACATAACGTCGATGATCGACTAACTCCGCCAAGACAGTGCACAAGAACTCTTCCACCTTGCAGAGCAACGTCATTGATTTCGTCTGCTACTTTGTCAAAATATTCATCTAAACGTGACTGTGGATTGTCGCCGATTTGAAGAAAGGTTGTTTTAATATCAAGTTCATTAGGACTTGGCGCCTCTAACGTGCAATTAATGATATGGGTTATCCTTAATTCCAGTAGACGTTCGCGTGTAATGGCGAATGCACTGCTGAGGTAGAGAGTATCTGTTAGTTGTGCAATTTGAGAAACAAACGACATGCCAAGAACAACAAGATGGCAATTTAAACTAAACCAACTTTTTTCTGACAGACAATCTAAAAATGAAAAAAAACCAATCATAAATACTGAATTTTGCAAAAAAAGAAGAGATGTGTGAAAAAATATCTTGTTGTAAAAAAGTCTTTATCCGTATATTATATTCATTCGTGTAAGAGGCAAACTATCTATTGACATTCAAGTATTTTTAAAAGTACTTATAAGTCTTGTAAATTGATGCACATGGATCATTTAACATCGCTGTTTAGATACAGATAATCATGAATGGATATTAAAGTCTCATGTAGTTATTTGCATATGCAAAAGATATAATTCTATTACAAAATGAGAACGTACTTGTTGCGATATGTTTATGGTGGCTCTATTCACAAAGTAAAAAGCAAGTGATGTCGAAACATTGACTACTTAATATACACTGTATAAACTGACCCCGATTTTTACTGCTTGGGACAAATAATGTCGATATAGATAGAGGGCATTTAAATCATTAGGAGATTCTGTACTTACCGTTATGTATGTATGTCTACTTGAGCGAGAGGAATAGCTAAGCTTGTAATCGCGTGTTGCTTATTTTTAGAACTGAGAAGATCAATATGGCTGCCACTCTTTGGAATCTAACAGGATAAAAGGGTAAGTTTGCTATAGATAATTATATAACCTAGATACAGAAATTATTAGAGTGAATACCAATATGAAAAATAGATATTAAAAATTGACAAAAGCAGAATACGATAAAGATGTATTCAACTATTTGACTGTGATGGACTTCTGATGTGATACATTACTATCTGCACACGTAGGAATAGTATTACTGATGCAAAATAACATTATAGATTTAGCAGTTATTATCTTGATATATTTTTTTTATTTAATAATTCATTTTGACAGTCAACGATTATGGACAAGTGAAAGACAAGTTAAAATCAATGAAATACTTACATTCCTTCGGAAAAATATAATAGGCTATAAGATCGAATAGTTTTCGTTGTACGTAATATTTTCAAAAGCTAACGATTGTTTTACGTAGAATGTGCATAGTAAAAGTTTAAATGTTAATTTTATAATTATCGGTTTAATGTTTTCATAATATTTTATTTATTTATGATATCTATGGTGATTTTTAAAACATTCATGACAATTGCTGCTTTCAGCGATTTAATAACGTTTATAAATCGGATAAATATTAAAATATATAGCATGGGTTAGTACAATATTGGCAAACCTCAAAGCATAAAGTGTGAACTGTAAATTTAGTAAAAGATTCAAATATATTAATGTTTTAAGTTACTAATAGTGACATAGATATAGTCTTAACCCTATACTTTGATAGGATATATTAGAGTTCACACCCTTTCATATTTTACAATTGGAGAAGGAAAATCTCACCTTTAATGAGAAGATGTATGCAAAAATAATACTTATCTCCATTTTAAAAGTAAAGTGAATAAAATATATGTCTTTGAAGGCGTACAATCAGGACACATTCGAAATATATTTCAAATAACCTTATTTTTATTCGAAAATGACCAAGTACCATTTCAGTATGATAAAACTTTATATATAAAAGGGCATAAGACAAGACAAAAATATTAATGTTTACAGCTTCTGGATATTTGAATAATCATTGAAGATCATTAGAATTAAAGTATAAAAAAGCTGTGAAAACCGTTGATTGTTTAAAATCATAAGGACAAAGATCTCTAGTCTTGTTGGCATTTGTCATTGGTGGGTTTTAATCCGTTAAAAGGCTGTGACCACGCTGACCCTCTTACAAATTTAAGATTTGTGCCTTTTTATAACGATGAACATGCAGTGATTTGCACATCTGAAATGTACATACAGATAATCACAGGTATAATTGATTACCAGATCAATAGACCAGGTGGTTTACACAGGTAACTTTGACGTACACAAGTCAATAGAAAAATGTATGTAAGGTCAATAATACGTTTAGGATCAATAGTGTCTTTGTTCAAATAGAGAACAAGTGACAAATTAAAACAAAATATGGTTAACAAAATCTAAAGATATGCATATCATATTTTTCATACCCAACTAAGCAGTAACACTGACATATTTACTTAATATTTGAATTTTATTCTCATATCATGCAATATCTGCAACTAAAATGCCGTAATGTTTATGATATTTCATAGCCATTTAAATTCACACATTCATTCATTCTATCTAAAAGATATTGATTTAATTTAAAACATGTAAAAGTACATTAACGATGATTGAAATCCGGATTCGGTCGCCATGATGTTTGTTTATGTTTTGTGAGTTGCTGGTTTCCTCCACGTGGATTTAAAATAAAGGTGAGTAATATGTAAATCTATATATAATTCAGTTCTATAAACATTTGAAGAATTGAACGAATTGGTTAATAATGGATTCATTACGACACCATTTAAAAGTAGAGAAAGGTAGGCAAATATAAAGAAAATACTAAAATGTTCAAATGAGTTCATTGTTTTAATCCAGGTTCAACATTTAGAATATTGAAAACTTATACAGAGATTAATTTATACTTACATCTATATAATTTCTTGTTTGATAACAGTTTGATTTAAGCTACTTCCTCCTATGTGTGTAATATCCTTATATAGGTCATGATATATATACAAGGATAAACATAGATATAATATGCATGAATAAAGATATATGTGTTTATCAGTTTAAATTCGTCAAGTGTTTTATAAAAGAAACTCAGATGGAAAAACAAAAAAAAGCTAACGAAACACCAGAAACCTACAAAAAACACACTCACAAAAAACAAAAACTTAGAATGACCTATGGATGTAAACGATTTAAAACATGCTATTATTTCCTTTGAGCCGTGTATTTGCACAATTATAATTATTTTTGTATCTCCTTGTATGGATAAAAAACACTATAGTTAAATTACTAGGAAACCTTGCTATGCTTAATATATGTTGACATTTTCTCTCTTCAGAAAAAATGAAAGGCTTTAATTCTGTAGCTCAACTAAGGGAATATCTGTATCTATGTGGTGTTGCATCTATTAACGAACATAGACTGAACAAGTACGGTATAACTCACGTGTTGAATACAGCAACTGAACTAAAAGATTTTCAGTATCCCGCTGGTATTACTAATATATTGCGTGTGGAAATGAAAGACAGTGCTTCAGAAAATTTATTGAAATATATTGATCAGTGTATTGACTATATTCACATGGTTAGAAACAATGACGGGAAAGTGTTGGTGCATTGTATTGCAGGCATGAGTAGATCAGTTAGCGTCTGCTTAGCATATCTTGTGAAATATGATAATATGACGTTGAAGGACGCATACGATCACGTGTTTAATGAAAGGCGTTTTATTCATCCAAATCAAGGATTTTGGAAGAGTTTAATATCATTTGAAGAAGAAAGGACTGGAAAGAACACAGTTGAAATTCGTCCATATATTTGTGGATGGGAAATTAATGTTATAGAATATGAGACCGACTGTAGAATAGTAAATGGATGGCTGGAAGATTTGTTTAGATTCTTATTCACACCGTTTCTTATATTAGTTATGCAAATGATATGGACTGGATCCTATAGCTGATATAAAAGCACATATGGAAAATATGTTATACCTTTGAATTTCACCTCACTCTGTGGGATTTTCCAAAGACTTGCAACCATTGAAAATGCAATAAACAGCGGTAATATCACGGGAAAAAGAACTTTTTATTTTTTAAGTTTGAAGCATCAATCGTTTTGAACTAAAATGTCATTCATTTAAGTGAAACAGCTTCATTTTGGTTTCAACGAATTTCACAGATCACAGAGATGCAATAACTAAATTAACATGGTAGATGACGTCATGAAAGCGTGAAATTAAAATTTTCGAATTCAATAAAAAGATGAATGTCGGGGTCATCAGCAACAACGTTACGCAAGTGATAATTCCATTTCCGGGATAATTCAAATGTTTAATTTTTAAAATTTTACGAATGTTGAGAATATGAATAACAGTACTGTATTCGACGGTCACACATATTCGTTTCATTGGCTCCTACCGTCGCCACATGCGAGCGCCAAATCCTTTATACGCGGTTGTAACTTTTATTCCTAAAATACATGTATTTTCAGTGGGTTTATTTCATGTGTCGTATGTTACGTGTACTACTATTTTTTATTGAATAAACATGTTCATGTAATTCTTATGTTACTTTTTTTGCCTTGTGTGCATTGCCTTGTGTGCATTGAAATAAAAACTGTACTTGGGTTAGGAGGACAATAAAAATGGTGATGTTCATGAGTCTGACTGTTAGTCGAGATGAACAAAATCCGAGGACTACATGTCGTTATACACAATTTACACAAAACCCAAAGCCACGAAGCAACACTTTTCATTGCTGTTTTTTTTTTAGTATCACAATATCATGGTGAGACTTTCAACACGGATCATAAGCTCAATAGTTTGAAATGGAGACAAATGTGGCTATTGTGATATCATTATTTCTTGTCTTTCATCCCTCTTTTAGGCAGTTTTACGCTTTACAAAAATAAGCTTAATAAAGTCTTCTCACACATTTTTTCGTCACTGATAACTTTTCCTTAGACATTGTGACGTCGCTAATAAGTTCTACTCACGTCTGAAAGCGGTGATACGAGAATAACGGAGCGACTGATTGGAGCGATTGATAATGGCAAAGAAAAGCACGATAAATCATTGTATTGGCCATAGCACTTGCTACTGTGATGTTATTTTGAATTCAATGGCAGTTGATATTTTTATGGGTTTTTGTAGATGTTTTACCTGTCGACGTACCTCGTCTTTACTCAGTTTAATCGCTATGTTCATTACAATATTTGCCTGTTTTACTGTTAAATACTTGGGGATGGGAAAACTTCTTAAAGTGACAAGCAAAAAACAAGCTTTTCTATAGTCTTATAATCTAGAAGTTATTTAGTGTTCTGTTTCATTTAAATTTTTGTATATACAATAATTTTTTAGGGCTAAAAAGAGGGGGGGGGGGCAAAGACATAGTCCTCCCCTTCCATTTTGAAAGTATGGGTGCAATTGCTCATACGCCAGTAAACTAGCATCTTTTAATATGCTACTTTTTTACTTATATGTGACGAAGAATATCGATGACAAAGCAGGGGAAAGCATTTTAAGTTACCCGCGTAAATGATTTTCTCGTATCGTGTGAGATATTGGTAATGTATTTGTTGCCCAAAACTTGTTTACAAATCCTCGTTTTGTGTTTAAATCCGACAGCGTTATTACTCATGTATTTTGAAATGGTTAAGGATTTTTCTTCCACCTTATTAGACGTCGTATTTTGTAATTCTTTTAGGATTATATCATGCATTAACAAGGGGAATAAGTTCATTGACACTTTGTGTATGTTTTGAACCTTGAGAGCAGTTTCAAATGATCACTATAGGGCATGTCAGAATTTTATCGTATCAATCGTAAAAGGAAAATACATTTTCATTTATCTACGCAGTTTGAGGTAAAAGAATTAACTTTGAAGTTTGCATAATAGTATCAATGTGATATATTTTACCTTCAAGGTATTTTCAACTATTTGCAAATTACATTGCACTATGGACTGACTTTGATGCAATTTGAATGTAAAATGATTATTTTCTTCCCACGAGAAA